CCAATCCCAAAAAACTCCTAATATCAGTTAGAGACGTGGGTCTAGGCCAATTTTGCACTGCCTTTATTTTCTGAGTATTAACTTGAATTCCATCACGGGAAACAATATGGCCTAAGAATGCCACAGACTCAAGCCAAAAATCACACTTAGAGAACTTAGCATATAACTCCTTATCCTTGAGAGTTTGAAGGACTAGTTTGAGATGACTATCATGATCTTCCTCATTCCTCGAATAGATAAGAATGTCATCAATGAATATGATAACAAATATATCTAAATAAGTCTTTAATACTCTATTCATAAGGTCCATGAATGCTGCAGGAGCATTAGTCAATGCAAAAGACATAACCAGAAACTCATAATTACCATAACAGGTCCTAAAATTTGTCTTAGGGATATGACTTTCTCTTACTTTCAACTGATGATTGCCAGATCTGAGGTCTATCTTAGAAAAACAAGTGGCATCCTGAAGCTGATCGAAAATGTCATCAATTCTCGGAAGAAGTTACTTATTCTTGATAGTAACCTTATTCATCTGACAGTAATCTATGCATATTCCAAGAGAACCATCTTTCTTTCTCACAAATAAGACTGGAGCGCCCCAAGGTCAGACACTTGTTCGAATAAAACCTTTCTCAAGAAGATTTTTCAACTGCTCTTTTAACTTTTTCAACTCTGTTGGAGCCATCCTATATGACGTAAAATAGATATGACGAGTGTCAGAAATATTATATATACCGAAGTCTATTTCTCTCTCAGGAGGGACTCTAGGAAGATCATCTGGAAAGACCTCTGGAAACTCACTCACAACTGGAACTGACTCAACATGTGGTGTCTCAACACTAGAATCTTTAACTCAGACCAAGTGATAGACACAACCCTTGGAAACTAACTTCCTCTCCTTAAGGTACGAAATAAAATGATCCTTAGGCACTACTAAACTACTCCTTCACTCAATAACTGGCTCATTAGGAAACTGGAACTTAACAACTCGAGTTCTACAATCGACTGAGGCATAAAAGGCATGAAGCAAGTCCATACCTAGAATGACATCAAAATCTGCCATATCTAACTCAACTAAGTCAGTCATGGTGGTCTAGTGATTGATGGAAATGGTACAACCACGATAAAATCTCTTAGTTAGAATAGATTCACCAACAAGTGTAGAAACACTGACGGGCTCAAGAAGTTGCTTAGGAAGAATATCAAAATTCATAGCAATATAAGGAGTCACAAAATATTGACTCGCTCTTGGATCTAGCAAAGCATAAGCATCAAAAGTAAAGACTTTGGTCATACCATTGCCAATATCTGAAGAATGATCTTGCTTTTGGCGACCGGTGATAGCATATAGACGGTTTTTTCCTACGCCAGTCCCTGAAGTAGCTCCTCTAGGTGCAACTCTATTCGGTGGAGCAACAGAATAAATTGGGCTCTATTGCCCCTATTTCCACTTCTCTGCATATTCTTAAGACACTCTTTCATGAAGTGACCTTCTTGACCACAGTTGAAACAACTAGTGGAGCCATCATGACATGCTCTTGGGTAGTTTCTTCCACACTTAGCACATGTAGGAGCCTAATTACCTCTTTGTTCCACACTACCTTGATACTGCACAGGTCTAGCTCTGAAATTTTGTGAATTTTGATTGTTGAACTCACCTCTGTTCCTTGGTGCAGGTACACTAGCAGATGACGGAGTAGGTCCCTTTTCCTTAGGTTGGAAATATGACCGGTTCGCATTACTCTTATTCTTCCCGAACTCATTCCCTGATGTCTTAGCTTTATTGTTTCAGAACTCTTCCCTATCTTTCAGCCTATCCTCCTCAACTTGTTGCACATGGATCATCTGCCTTTCTATGTCCGTATCCCCTGTTAGAATAGCTACCTTGCCTTCCTTACTTTACAGATGACACAACCCAGCAACAAACAGACTCATCCTACTCCTCATATCCGCAACCATCTTCGGAGAATAACGGGAAAGTTGGGTGAACTTAAGGCTGTACTTGTCAACGCTTATAGATTCCTGCTTAAGAGTGAGGAATTCTCGTACCTTTGCTTCTCTCAGTTCTATGGAAAGAAATGCCCCAAGAAGGCCTCCTCAAACATAGCTCAACTCACAAGTGGTTTACCCTCAACTCTATTCTCTTTCCATTGATCAAACCAGATCCTAACGACACACTTCAATTGGTATGCAACTAGTTCTACTCTCTCAGCATTAACAACATGTATAATCTCAAAACCCTTTTGAACCTCCTCAGCAAAGTTTTTCGGATCCTCAGTGTCACTTGAACCAGTGAAGCTTGGAGGATTCATCCTTAAGAACTCATGAATCCTAGAAGTATCAACCACTTCCTGTCGAACCCCTCTTTATTGCCCAACTTGACTTAACATTCATATAGCTTCCCGAAATTTAGCATTAGTGACCTCTCTTTGGGGTTGCACTTCCGGTGCATTAGGTATCCTTTGTTCCTCAACGTTCCTCTTAGAAGGATAACCTTAGACAACTCTTCGTGGAGGCATGATCTGAAAGATACGCGCACACATGAGCTAGAATTTTTTTTATAGAGATGAACTCTATCGCATGATATGAATATGAAAGAAGTGAGATAGTTCCTAAATGTTGTAGCCTCTTAATTATAGATGTGGCGCGCTTCACACCGATAACTAGGACTCTACATACATAGTTTCATAGAATCCCTAGGACTCTTGAACCGGGCTCTGATACCAAATTTGTCACTCTCCGAGCCTACACCCTGGGTGAGACTGACACTCAAGAACCATTGCTGGCCTAAGTGAATCCTTGGTCTAGCTAAACTCTCAGCGGAAGAGTTTAAGCATTAAATAAAGAAAACAAATGCAACTTTACTCAACTATCTCAAAATAACTTAGAATGTTTTAAAATTAAACACCCAACTAGCCAAAGTGACAACACAAGTCTTATAACAAAACAACTGAAATGCAAAGATTAAAGAACTATAGCTATATGTGTATAAATCCTCTAAAACTATGAGGGATGTCGGGACAAGATCTCCGATCATCCTAACAACGAAAAATGCTAAAAACATGAAAAAGGGATCCTCCGGAAAGCAAGAAGGCTCACCAAAAGACTCTGAGTGCTCGACTGGATCAATGAAGCACTGGATGCTGATCCTGGTTACCTGTATCTACATCATAAAATGATGCAGGCCAAATGGCGTCAGTACATTGAACGTACAAGCATATGAGGGTAATTCTAAACAACACATAAGTTTGAACTGGAATCTGAAAGAAACACTTACCTTAGCTTTACTTAACTCATAGATACTCAACTCAATGTAGAAATAAACAACAGTAAATATGCAGTTTATATAAAGACTTTAAAACAGTAGATAACATCTCAAAGTGTTGGAAATACAATAATATCTTAGTTGTATATATAAATACAAAACTTAAACTCTGTTTGGGAGATTCTCTAAACGACCACCATTACTATGAGCTATGTGATGATACATCGTCTCTCCCACGCTGCCAGAACTGTCCTATAACTTGCCGGGATATAGAACGCCTCAACTAAGGGGATCCACTAGTCTATGCTAAAAAGCATTAAAGAATCATCTAAAAAGTATGACCCTTTCTATTGACATTGGCTACATGGTTTATGGAGACTTGAGTTATTATGAACTTGTCCCCATATCGGTGCTCAATACTACTCCCAAAATATACTCAGGTCATATGTTTAAAAACATAACTCTTTCTCTATGGTTTGAGATTATTACTCAAAAAGTAGCTTTAAAGCTTTCTTGGAAATCGGTGTTTTCTCTCCTTTTTAAATGTGAAAACATTAACTCTTTGGGAATACTTAGTTCCCATATAATCATTTTGAAGAAAATGAACTTCACTCTTACTCTTACTCAACTCATTACTCAACTCATTACTCAAGTCTTAAAACAAGTTTAAAATATTTGTAAAAGACTTTTGAAAAGACTCTAAGAACTCTCTAGACTTGGCTCGATGTTTAGAAGTCATTTAGAGTAGTTAGAATCAATAAGAAGTGATAGTACGCTTTAGGAGAATTTAGAGGGGCTAAACGACGAAAAAAAGGTGGGGGCAGACGTCCCGGGTGCATTGCTGGCGCGGGGTGCCAACCTCTAAAGTTTTGGGAATCAATTTTGGTGCACTACTGGCGTGCCACTCCACCTCTGCTGGCACATCAGTGGCGCACCGCACCACTCCTCTCCCAATTCAATCCGACAAATTTTTCTTCTCGTTCTCTTACCTTAATTCGGTTAAATTCAATTTTTTTTCTCAATTTTTCTGTAGATTCAGATACCCAAAACATGTCTACAATAATCTACTCATAAATGACTCAAAATCAACAGTATTTCCTCAAGAACTCAACAATCCCGTCCAATCTCAAAAACGATAGTCAATTTCAAGAACACAATTCAAGATCATCAAACTTTCAACTTTCTAGAATGAATTTCATTGAAATAAACATGGTTGGCTCATGGGTGAATGAACCCAACACTATGAAAGTCTCACATTCCTCTTAGGGATTAACCCTTGGCGAATTCCGCAAGCGAAAACTGAAGAACATGAAAACATTGGCTTTTCTCCTCTTTTCTCTTCTCCCAAAGCCCCATCGTTAATTTGGAGTGCGTAAACCGATCCCAATCAGTTTAGACCCCAAATAAATTACTAAAAATGAAATAACTTAATTGGATAATTAAAAGACCAAAATACCCCTCTTAAATCTGGGTGACTTTCCATATCCAGATAGCCCAACTTCAAATGGGCATATCTCCCTCACACGAGCTTGAAAATTAACAAACTCAGTGGCGTTGGAAAGATAATTCCAAGACCTTTTATTTGATACCTCTTAGGCCACCTAACTCATTATGTACTAAGAGTTATGGTTATTTGAAGTTGACCCAAAACTCAACTTAGCATAACTTGCCAAAATTTTCAAATTTGATATTTCCAAATTTGATTCTTTCTATTTTTAGCTCTTTCAAATAGCGAGGTGTTACAGTTATCAGGATGTTCAGTCAAGTGGTGGCCAACCAAGCTGGTTAGTAGAGAGGGGTTTGACAGGATGTGGCTGATACATCCAGAATCCATAAGTTTTCATGGATGAATCCCCAAAATTCATAGGTTCAAGTGTCACTGAGGATCCGAAGAACTTTGTGGAAGAGTTGCAGAAAGTGTTTGAGGTGATGCATGTTGTATATGTTAAGCGTGTTGATTTAGCTGCATACCAATTGAAAGGTGTTGTTAGGGTCTGGTACGAACAATGGAAAAAGAGTAGAGTTGAAGGGGCACCAATTATGAGTTGGGTTGTGTTCAAAGAGGCCTTCACAGGGCGTTTCTTTCCCCGTGAGTTGAGAGAGGTAAAGGTAAGATAATTTCTCACTCTAAAGATGGAGTCCATGAATGTGCATGAGTACAACCTCAATCACTTAACTGTCCCGTTATGCTCCGAAGATAGTTGCTGACAAGAGGAGCAGGATGAGCTTGTTTGTGTCTAGGTTGTCTCGCTTGTCAAGTAAGGAGGGCAAAACAACTATCTTGATAGAAGACATAGACATAGCCAAAATGATGATCCATGTGCAAAAGGTTGAGGAAGATAAGCTGAGAGATAGAGAAGAGATCTGGAACAAGAAGGCTAAGACTGCATTTAATGAGTCCGTACAACACAAGACTTGAAATGTGAACTGGTCATCCTTTCAACAAAGGCCAACTGGACCTGCACCATTATCTGCTAGTGCACCTGCACCAAAGAACAAAGGAGAGTTCAAGAATTAGAATTCGCAGAACTTCAGATCTCGATCTACTCAGTCTTAAGGTAATGGGCGTAAGGGGTTAACCAGACTCTTACATGTGCTAAGTGTGGTAGGAACAAACCAGGAGAATGTCGTGATGGCTCCACTGGTTGCTTCAAGTGTGGTCAGGCAAGTTACTTCATGATAAAGTGCCCTAAGAACAAGCAGGTTAATGTAAATGGGGGCAATAGAGCCCAATCTTCTTCAACTGCTCCGCCAGACAGAGTTGCACCTGGAGGAGCTACTTCAGGGACAGGCAGAGGAGCAAACCGTCTGTATGCTATCACCAGTCGTCAAGAGAAAGAGAATTTTCCAGATGTTGTAACTAGTATGATCAAAGTCTTTACTTTTGATGTATATGCATTACTTGATCCAGGTGCGAGTCTATCTTTTGTGACTCCATATGTTGCTATTAGGTTAGATATTCTTACCGAACAACTTCTTGAACCCTTTAGTGTTTCCACACGTGTTGGTGAGTCTATCCTAGTTGAAAGAGTTTATCGTGATTGTACCATTTCTGTCAATCACAAGTACACCATGGTTAACTTATTCGAGTTAGACATGGTGGAATTTGATGTTATTCTAGGTATAGACTGGCTTCATAGCTATTATGCCTCACTTGATTGTAGAACTCGAGTAGTAAAGTTCCAGTTTCTTAATGAGCCTTTTATAGAGTGGAAAAGTAGTTCAGCACTCCCTAAGGGTCATTTTATTTCATACCTTAAGGCCAAAAAGTTAGTTTCCAAGGGGTGCATCTATCACTTAGTCCGAGTTAATGACTCTAGTGTTGAAACACCAGCTATTTAGTCAGTTCCAGTTGTGAGTGAGTTTCCAGAGGTCTTTCCAGATGATCTTCCCGGAGTCCCTCCTAAGAGAGAAATAGACTTCAGTATAGATATTCTTCCTGATACTCGACCCATTTCTATTCCGTCATATATAATAGCTCTAGCTGAGTTGAAAGAGTTAAATAGCAGTTGAAATATCTTTTTGATAAGGGTTTTATTCAACCTAGTGTCTCACCTTAGGGCGCTCCAGTCTTATTTGTGATGAAGAAGGATGGTTCACTTAGGATGTGTATTGATGACTGCCAATTGAACAAGGTTACTGTTACACCCCTTAAAACTATAAGACTAAGCAAGAGCCTAAAGTGTAAACTAGTAGTCTAATTGAGGTTTAATGTAAAACTAAGAGTCATAAAATAACCTCCAGTGCTTAAAATAAATGTTTTTGGGTGTAAACGTGAAGGTACGACCCCCCTAAAGACCAACCAAGGGTCCTTGAGGAGGACCCAAAGGGTGCCCAAAAAGCTGTCAAAAACAGCTTGACCTACGGATGGGCACCCACGATTTGTGGGTGGACCCATTCCCCGTAGGTGGGGGTCATGGGTTGAGGCTGGACCTACCCTGTTCCTCCCAAGTTCTAGTAACAAACCACATTTTGCAAGCACGGCTCGTGGACCCACCCATGGTCCGTGGGTGGGGTTTCGTGAGTGAGCACTGAAAGTTGGTCATTTAGTTTTAGTTAGAGTTAGGGGGGGGGGGGCTTAGGGTTAATTAATTAATTAAGTAGGGTAATTTAATACTAATTAAAACTAATTATATATACCTAATAGACCCCAAAACTAATTCAATTAGTTCATTCATTCAAGACCCCAAAACAAACTTATTCCCTCCCAAATAATTCTCTCTCTAGAAACCTCCATTGGAGAAGAAGAAGTCAAGGTTTAGAGCTCATGAGTTCATCTTTTCTCTTCAGTTTCGTGGAGAATACTCAATCAAGGTATGGTAGTTTTCATCTATAGGTAGCTTTCACCGATAAAGTCCCTTCAAAACATCATTTCAAAGCTTCCAAATTCCCCCAAAAGTTAGGGTTTCAATCTAAGTCACGGGTTCAATTTCAAAACGTTTGCAAAGGTTGATTTATGATGAATTGTGATTGAATTGAGGAATTAATGTTGTTTTATGATGAAATTCCCCCATCAACCCATGAATTCCCCAAAATACTAAATTGTGAATTTATGATGTGGGTTGATTGATTATGGAAGCATGCTAATTGATTATATCTATATTTGTAGAAACATGACCGAACATAAGATTTTACACCATTTTTATTCCTTATATATTTCTTCTAAGTTCTAAGTCTACATTAAATATTTTATTTTTTCATCGTATTTTAGTAAGTTTATTTTAAAATATTTGAAAACTACAAAAATATATGTTTTCTTTTAATTTAATAATAAGCTAGTAATTTAGAGTAGCTATTCATTTATTCTTATATTTTTATTACATTTATTATATTTAATAGAATAAAAACTTACCACTACCTTCACCCCATTACCCATTTCCACCCACATCTTCTACCCCACTCCCCTCACATTACATTCCCTCACCACTACATACCACAAACACGTCTGCACACACATGCCCTACTATATTAACATATTAACAGAAACGTACACAAAAAAAACAAAAAGAGGAAAAAGAAACACACACACAGAACACACACAAGAAGAAAAAAAGAGAACGCATGCAAACAAAAAAGGGTGAAGCAAATTAGAAAACTAGTTGTTTTTTTCATTGCTAAGAAGGTATACTTGCCCTCCTTCATTGTTTCATATCATATTTTTCCCATTAAACTTCCATAATCATATAAAATTAGTTAAACCACCACAGAGACGCCATTAACACAACCCTTTTACACCCCTCAAGCTTTAACTTTTACTGAAAATATCAAGAATACCACAAAATGAGGTGCAAGTTTGAGTTTCTCGTTGAGTTTTCGATCGACACTCCAGTTTAGGTGAGATTTTAATAAAAAAGTATCGTTCTTGAATAAGGCAAGGGAATTTTCTATTCCACAAAAGGTCCATATCTTGACACCATTATAATTTTATGTCATCTCTTTGTAAATTGTTGAATCATTCTTATATGTTAGTGTATTTTTTTTTTGTTGTTGTTATTTTTCTAAGCTACTTTGTCGTAATTCTCAGTATCGTGATTCTTGATACATTGAAAAGTGCCTTATCACACTAACATTAAACTTGTGATTTAGACATTTTAAAGTTATTTTTTTTGAAAGTAAATCGATTTTATGTTTGCTATATTTAGTTTATTTTTATCTATTGAAATTAAATGAGATGCTAAATGTTTAGGTGGTAAAGTAAAATTCTCAATATAATTAATTTTTAAGTCATATTTATATTATCACAATGTGTTAAATTTATATTAACTCTTGGTGTTAATCCGAGAGATGAATGAAAGTCTTGTAATTATTGCTAGGTAGATTTGTCTTATAATTATCCAAACATGTCTTACCTAAATAATCGTTTTCACGATTTTATTGTATCTAAATGTTGATATCCAACTATCTATTATGATTAACATGGTTCTTGACGTATGATCCATCATCACAATTTAGATTGACAAATGAGCTATGTCAATCAAACATAAGTTTATTTTGTTTTAAGTTAATCAAATCCTATGATTTGAGTCTAGATATTTAAAGCTCCATCAATTAGAAAAGAGTGAGATGAGTGGTGGCTCAACCAAAACTCGTTGCAAAATTTTTTTAACACAAAAAGCGAAAAAGGAAACTATAGTTGTCTTAAATTAACCATGAACGAATATATGTCTCTAATAGTAGATGGTAATAAAATTTTCTTAAACAAATAAATTGTGAATCAAAATGGATTTTCCGTAAAGAATGTGGTTCCACATCTTTTTGAGATACTTAAAGACTAGCATAAATTTTCCTTTAAAAAACAATAATAATAAAAACGAGTTTCAATAAAGAATGTGGTTCCACATCTTTTGAGACACTTAAAGAAGATTCAAGGATGCAATGACACATCTTAGCCAAATAATTGTCATATTATTTTTTCTTAAATTAACTAAAATTCGTAGATACAGAATACTAGGTGATGCACTCGAGAGAAGAAAACAATTATGCTTTTAAGTTATTAAATGTCAAAACCAAGAATGCAGTTACGTATCTAGGTTGAGACCAAATAAAAGTTCAACAAATAAAAAATGTGAGCAAATCATGACTTATAAAAATATATTCAAAAGATAGTTAAAATAAGTATAAGTCAATAAAAGCGACCATGTTAGAACCACGGGATTTGAGGGATGCCTAATACCTTTTCCTCGATCAACAGTATTCTTTACTCGAATTTCTAGTTCGCAGATCAAAACTAAAGAGTCATTTCCTATTGATTAGAGATTCAAAAAGGTGACTTGGAACATCATAACTAAATTTCAAGTGGCAACTCCAAAAAATTAAAATAATTCCTTAATCAATACAGTCACTTGAATTGAAAAAACCTTTCTGTCAGTCGAAAAAGAAGTATAACATCTCTGGCGACTCCGCTGGGAAATAACCAGAATTCGAGCTTTGTTATATTGACTTTTACTTAATTTTAATATTGTATTTGTTGGATATATTGTGTATGATGACCTAATATGCCACTTGCTGCTCATTCATTGCTTTTATATTGTTCTTGTAAGAATTGTCTTTTCTGGTGCAATCATCTGAATCTCTTAAAATTAGGGTAGCAGAGAATTTGAGATAAACTGGAGTGTCTTGACACCAATGAAGGATTTTAGTCACACATGTTAGGTGGGGTCGAACCATCAATGAAGTTGAAATAGCGTTGCTACCGATAAGTTGTCCCTCCCTAGATTGACTTGTCCACTCAGGTAAAGCCAGTTTAGACACCTATCTGCTTCAGGTTTAAACCTAGTAGAATTGAAACACATATATGGTTATCCCTTGTAGACTTCGCTTAGTTGCATAATTTGCATTTTTGACCTAGTGAAATTCGATAGAAGGGTCAGATCTGTCTAGGAAATGAGTCTTTTTTGACCAACATATGCATATTTTGTGCTATTTATAATATTATTTGAAAAGTCTTTGCATATTGACCAATTTTATAGTGATCAGTGAAACGAAAAATGTTGACAAAAATTCAATCTTTACATAAAAAATAGAGGAAAACACAAAAAAAAATCTTATTTTAGAAGTTCTCAAGTATTTCTTAAAAATAAAGATAAAAAAAAGATTTTTCACTTCTTAATAATATAAAGAATATAAAAAGAAAATTCAAAATATTTTGCTTTCATAATACTTCAAAAAATATTTGTCAAGTCAATTTTCAATATCACAAAAAAATTAACTGTACAATCTGAACGAACTACGCACACCTGATTCTCTTCTCAATGAGATACGTAGGCAACTCTTTTTAGGTTCGGTGATCTTTATTTAATTTTTTATTTAAAAAAAATCCTTCTTAAAAAATTTAAAAATAAAAAAGAAGAAGAATTTGTAGTATTTATTCAACTAATATTTTTTATTCTTACCTTAAAAAGTTTTATCTTTATAATGTTAAAACGTTTTGAATTTGTCACTCAAACGAAAAAATAAAAAAAAATATTTTTTTGTTTATTTTTATTTCATTTTAGCATGAAGTTCAAGATCAAAAATAGATTTTTTTTTAATTTTCTTTTAATATATCAAGAAAACAAAAGATTTTATCTTAAAGTTTTGAAGAAGATTTTTTTTTAGTGAAAATAAATTATGCAAAGATCTTAATCATTTTCTCAAGCGTGTTATCTTCGCAATCCAAATGAAATTGACCAATGCATTATTTTTTAAATAGATA